CCCCGGCGGCCTGCAGCTGCCACGGGGGAGGGATCAGGAGCTCAGCGTAGGTCCCTCAAATTGGAACTGAGTAAGAGCTGGTAAAGCTTTATACCCTGAAACGCTTCCAGCTGCAGCTTCCATTGAATGGAGCTTCCAGGAGGCAGCTCCAATATATACCCTGTGGTTATTAAAAACAAACTCCCACGCTCCTCCAGCGCTGGCTGGAACATCAACCCCTAATGAGGCCGTTTAGAAAATGGGCTGCAGAGATCCAGCAGAAGAAGCTGTATTTGTGCAGGATAAAAGTGCAAACGCAGGAGACCGGGGCAGTTCCTCTGCCAGCCCGTGGCACCGGGCAGCCCACCAGCAAACGGGCTCCGAGAGCGAGCGGAGCCGTTTTCTGGCTAGTTCTGTGCTCAGAAAGCAGCCAGGCGTTTGCACGAGCGTTTTTGTGAACCGCAGAGCTGCACCCCTCCGGGTCCGACGAGTCATAGCCAGGGCTGGGTGTTGGGGGTCGGCACTGGGGGAGTTCAGTGTTTTGCGTCCCCCCCAGCGCTGCTGTCAGCAGGACTCTCGCCCTTACGGAGGATTTAGTTTGGCAATGGCTACATGTGCCGCCAAACCTGGCGTAAATCGCAGCCCCTGCAGAGCTGGCCTGTGATTTCTGCTGTAAAATCCTGCAGAATTGGTTGAAGTACATCAAGCCTTACCGAGAGCAGAGGACGCTCCCAGGCAATGCCCCGTCCTCAGCAGGGACTGATGCACCGAGATGGTTTTTGCAGGAGTGTTTCTGAAGCCAGCCTGCGGTGGGGCCGGGCCTGCCTGCGTCCCCGAAACGCAAGACCTGTCTAACTCCAGATTTACAGCACGGAGCCAGCTATGGAGAAATTCCCAGGGAGCACATATATCGCCTGGAGGGGCCCATCCATAAACCCCTCGTCAACAGAGAGCGCGTTATCTCCCCTGTGCCGTGAACTGCGGCAGAGCCAGGAGATCCGTCATCCCCCCAAGGGCTCTGATGACAGAAATCCAGCAGTCGCTGTGTCTCTCTGACAGCGTAAGAGGAAAATTAGGTGAGTCCGTTGGACATAAATTAGACGGCGGTTCAGTCCCAGGAGATGACGGATCTGCTGACAGCGAGGAGATGGGGCGATCGGCCCCGCCAGCCTCCCACGCGCCCGGGGACGCACACGGGGGGACACACACGGTGTCGGTGGTGGCGCAGCAGCCGGTGTTGGGGATGCAC